CGAGCTGACCAAGTACGGGCTGCCCGGGCTGGCGCAGCTGCGGAGCCGCGAGGCCTACGTGCTGTGCTACGACCCGCGGAGCCGCAGCGCGCTGTGGGTCATCGAGCAGCTCAACCGGGAGACCCTCGGCGGCACCTCCGAGCGCGCCGCCTGCGATTTCCAGGAGGACGACTCGGTACACGAGTACCACCGCGCCACCAACGCCGACTACCGCGGCAGCGGCTTCGACCGCGGGCACCTGGCGGCCGCCGCCAACCACAAATGGAGCCAGAAGGCCATGCGGGACACCTTCTACCTCAGCAACATCGCCCCGCAGGTAGCACCCGCAGCACGGAGACGCGGGTGGAGGGCGGGGAGCGGAGCTGCCCGTGCTCAAGGGCAAACGCTGCTCCCTGCTGGAAACCGCCTCGGAGCGTCTTCGGCTCCTCCGGGGGTTTGCTCGGGCAGAGAGAGGCCAAGGTCACTCTGGGGGGGGGCTGTAATTCCTGCTAAACTTAACGGTGGCGATCCTGCTTGCCTCCGCGCTCCTCTCAAGCCGTGAGAGACCCTGGTCAGTGCAGCTCGTTGCAGGAGCAGAGTTAAACAGGCAGACAGGTGCTTGCAAAAATCACGGTCTGAGGCGAGCGGGTTCTGTTCCTGGCTGTGCAAACCAGGACCTTGCCGTGCACAGTGCCCAGAGCTGAGATCTCTTCTGGAAAGTGCCCAGGATGCCGTGAGACACGTCACAGAAAATGTAGGTGTTGTTACTCTGAACAGTAAAGAAATTCCCCACTGACTGACTTTGCTGTCTGTATCACCCTGGTTGTTTCTAGAATCCTCATTTAAACCAGAATGCCTGGAATAACCTTGAGAAGTACAGCAGAAGCTTGGCGAGGAAAAACAAGAACGTGTACGTCTGCACAGGACCCCTTTACCTGCCCAGGTAAACACGAGGGCCAAGCTGGGACCGTGAGCGAGCTGCTGCGGCCTCACTCAGTAGGTGAGACCGGCTGTGTGCAGAGGTTCTGTGGAAAGCTACTTCTGTGGGATTAGGTTGTGTATTTTCCATTCAGTTATTTCATGATTAAAGGTGGGTTTCTTGAGCTACAACATAACCAAGTCACTTTTGTTTGCAGTCCTTAACAATCTAGTAGCAGTAGGTTACTAGATTATTAGACTAACAATTAGACTGCAGACCCCTTCCCTGCAGAATAAAACTTTTAGGTTTTATTTCATGGACCGTTTCTCCATTTAAGAGCATGACTTTATTTGCAAAGATCTTCCCATGGTGCTAAAGAGCAGCTGTCTCATGTTGAGATCTCTTCAACAAGAGAGAGCAGGGAAGGAATCTGGGGGAGCAGACCCAATACACAGCTCAGCGTCTGTTTCAGCAATGTTTCTACATCCCTACCACAAATGTAGGGCTGCTCCCTGCCACCCTGTGTGGTGGGGGATCACTTTGGGGGGTGGTGGAGGGCTGAGGGGGCAGGTGTGGCACCAGACTGGGAGGTAACATGGGATGTTGCTGTTGGTGCAGGATGGAGGCCGATGGGAAGATGTATGTCAAGTACCAGGTGATTGGGAAGAACAACGTGGCTGTTCCCACCCACTTCTTCAAGGTGCTCATCCTGGAAAAGGAGAGTGGGGAGATTGAGTTGCGCTCGTATGTGATGCCCAACAGCCCTGTGGATGAGAAAATCCCCCTGGAACGGTTTCTGGTTCCCATCGAGAGCATTGAGCGAGCCTCAGGGCTCCTCTTTGTCCCAAATATCTTGAAGAGAACAGGTAACCTGAAAGCCATCACAGCTGGAAACAAGCTCTGAACCCCGACTTAAACGAATCAAGGTATCTCCTGGGAAGGGACTGAGCAGTTACCTCCAGAATAATTGTTCCTTGGGCAATTTTAAATGTGGGAAGTAAGAATCAAACCAATGCTTCTCTTTACCCTTCCCCTTGTTTTGTGTGACACTAACATGCACAAGGCTCCCAGGCACTTGCCATCCTATCAGGTCTGTAGAATTTGCCCCTAACAGGCAGCACAGAGAATACTCCTATAACTGCTGCCTTTGAATTACATGTGGCTCATTAAGACACAAAGGGAATTTCTGCTATTTATCAGGGAAGGACAGGAGCAAGATGGGTGCAGGGGGAGAGGTTCCTGCCTTTCTGTGGCCAAAGGATTGTCTGATTGTTTTCTTTCAGGAGATGGTTTTAGCAGTAAAGCTTTGAACACCCAGAGTAGTGGTTGTTTCTTATCTGCTCGTACCAAAGCTCTGAATGTCTCAGCAGGAACGGGGAGGATAGTACCAACTTTTCCAGCTGTTTTCCTGTTTAAGCTCACTATAGGCAGAGCCTAAGATATAGATGGAGCCAAACTGTAAGGAGCTATGCTCATTGCTTTAGCACTAAGGCCCAGCTGAAGCACCAGCCCTTCCTGCTGCTGGGAAGGATGAAGCCTTGAAATTGAAGCAGGGATGAGGGGAAGTCAGACTGAGACAGGAACAGCTTCTTGGCATAAGGATTAGGTTTTGATTTCCTTTAAGTGTGAAGGCCACCTGGCTCCAGAAGCACTGAGTGTGCAGGATCTCTGGCCCCTGAGTGCCCTCCTCTACCCCAAGACAACTGCACATGGACTTCAGGGTAGCTGTGGTTCCATTTTGCTTTATTCCCCACCCCAGACTCTGAATTGCTGCAACTCAGTCTGCTGCCAGGCTTGTCCCCTTCACTGGGCCATGCGGGCAGGATGGTCCAGACCTGCTGCTCCCACCAGCAGGCAGGCTCTTGGTTGAGCAGCACTGCCAGCTTTAGTCACGTTGGATTTTCCCAGCACTTCGCCTTTGAGCAGCTGCTTCCCTAAGGCAGTCCTCAGCTGATGGCAAGGTCAATGGTTTTCCTTCCCTCAGTTGTCACTGGGTGTCTTCACAGCCTTGTCGATGTGGGGTCTCAGCGCAGACAGAGAGATCAGCAGTGCTTCCTGGAACAGACCAAGGCACCACTCAGAACCGCTGCTCTCCAAGCAGCAAGAGGCGAGCCAGCTGCGCTCTGCCGAGGAGTCACACATGGGCTGTGTCACTGCCCGAGCTGCTCTGTGCATGCGGGCATCGTGTCCCACTGTGACCACCAGCCACCTGCCCTACCTCTGTCCGGATGGTTCTGCTGCCTTGGCTGGGACAAGTATTCAGGTAGAAGTCAAACAGGACACTTGGGTCGGTGACCTCCAGGTTTGGGTCCACGTCAACTCCAGCTTCCAAGCCTTCAAGCCCTCCAAACACGACAAGGGCATGCCTGGGGGAGAGCACAGGGACAGAGCAGTGAGACTGGCTCCTACCTCTGTACCAAGGCAGATGTTACAAGCTTTACACGTACCTAGAACATTCGAGTGATTAAGAACTGGCTGCATGTCAACAGTTCTCTTAACTTGATCTGCAGGAAGCAGACTCACTACTTTTGTTCAAGTATCTGGGGTCTGTGTTCAAGCTCCTCTGTGCTCCTGAAGCAGGGAGCTGTGTCCCTCGCTGATAATGCCCAGTGCAGCTGCCTCCTACAAAGCCCCACAGCACTTGGCCAAGGGACAGTCCCTGCTACCACCTGAATGGGGAGGACAGGAAAGGAACTAGCATTGTCCTGGGGTACTCGCCCCAGCTTCTTCAATGCAGAGGAATGTGCCTTGGTGTAAAAGGGAGCAGCAGAGCACAGGAGAGAGCCTGCAGGGAAGTCCTGAACTTGTATCTATGAGGATTCCTGCCTGGGAGAACACCAAGGCCACAATGCAGCAACTTTGCTGCCTGTGGTGGCCTCGCTGGGGGCTCCGAGTGGGGTCAAGCAGGTGGGATGTGAATCTGAAGGAGGGGAGAATGGGGGCTCTTGAGTGGGCCCAAGCAGGCAGGACATAAACCTGAAGGAGGGGAGAGTGGCCTGGTCCACAGAGCTGCCCCGCTCCGAGGTCCCAATAGAGAGATCGTAGCCTTCCTTGAACGGGCACTCTGAAAAGACAGCACCTGGGAAACAAACGCAATACAGGGTTAGTTATGTGGTGCCCTTGCTGCACCTTTGGACGGGCTTAAAGACTCCACAGGTGAGTGGGGGCAGCAGAGGGAATTGTTTTTCAGTGCCACTAGTGCAGCAGGAGACAGAAGAAATCTCTCCTACATAACTCCCTTGGCTGCAGGAGTCTCTGACAACTTTCTCAACCACAGCACCTTTTCCTCAAAGCTCAAACAACTGCCGGGAGCCATTCCTTGACTAATGGTTTATGATTTTCCTGGGAGGTCCAATCATTCAAGAGGAAAAAGATTTTACAGGGTTCTTGAGCTCAAATGTCACTTCTGACTCTGAAGTGAATGAGCAGGAGGAGGTTATGGTGGAAATGGAAATGTACTAGCTGGAGGTGGAGAGCACCAACTCTTGTCTCCTGCTGCACAACAGTGAGTGGAGGCACAGGGCAGAGTATTGGTGGGTGACAGGCAATTCACACCCTTAGCTTGAGCCCTTAAATTTGCCAAGTGGCTGCTAGCTGCATGTGTAAGCTGTCTTGGAGAGAAAAGATTTCTAAGAGATGTTAATGTAAGCAGATGTGCAGCCAGTAGACCTGAAAGAGGCGTGGAAGCCAGACAGACATGGCAGAGTGGAGAATTCCTGTAAACACTTACTCAGGCAGGAGGCAAGGCGGACGCTGTAACCCCAGTACAAGCCCGACACCATCCGAGGGTGGTGCGAGGACACCACGGTGCCTTTCCGCACTTTAGCTTCTGAAAGGGAGGCAAACAGATGAATAATTAGTATCGCAAGGATTAACAACCCCTGCGACCAGCCACATATGGCAGTTTCTCACAGGGTACAACCAGAACTGCCCTTTGGAGCACGTTCTGGAAAGCGTGCAGGTATGTTTGGGCTGGTTATTGTTGGTGAAATAACTGAGAGTTCTTTCCAGTTAATTAGGGAGGTGTGGTAAGGGTGTTACTAAAATTGTGTGTGGACTGAAAGGAACATGCAGAGCTGTTGGGTACCTTCAAACCTCAGTCACCAGCAGGCTGTCGTCCAGATGGACCAACTCCTGCAGGACTGAAGTTTACAGATGCAAACGGAGCAGCGGGTTACCTGGCTTCTGGGGTTCCTCCAGGCGCACGGTGACTCGCAGACCAGGGTTCAGCTGTCTGTCGATCTGCACCTCCTGCAGTGACAGTCACCATCAGGCATTCTGGAAGTACTGGGGAAGGTGGGGAAGGAAGGGAACTCTAAGGGAGTGGGGGTCTGTGCTGGCCTGGAGCTGAAACGAGCTCTGCCATCAAGGCCTTTGTGGTGCGTGCGGTGCAGAGCAGGCTGAGGGCGCTTGAGTCAGCAGTCTGAGACTTACTTTGCTGCTCAAAGGTTTAACTCCAGCAGTGGAACAATGATGTGCTGGAATGGGCAGACTTACCAAGACTCAAGAAGCCTCAAACATTAACAAGCCAGAAGGGACAAGACAGCAACTGCATTAAACCCTGCACTAGCCTGCTGTGGCCTTCAGAAACCCAGCAGTACCCACCCTGCCTGCTTCCCATCTGCCAGAGACAGGGAAAATTGTTCTGGGATCTGTGGGTTAGACAGACAGACGTACCTTCCTCATCCCGCAGTTAACAAAAGAGCCTCTGCCTGGCTTAGTTGGCCGGTCCAACACTACGCCTTCTCGGTACTCTGCCTCCTCATCGACCCGCATGTGGTGGGGGCTGTCCAGGGGGTTGAGGAGCCCTAGAACAGCACAGATGAAAGCAACTGCTAAGGAGGGGACACAAACTGTGAGACCAAAGGTGCAAGTACAACCGTTCTGCTGCCCTCTCCCTCTCTGATCCATCATTCCTCAGCATAGCAGCTCACTTGTGCTCTGAAGCAGGGAGAAGTTATTAAATTCTGTGCATCCCACACAAAACAAAAGCTCAGGAAGGGAGAGCCAGCTGCTTGGGACAAAGACAACTGAATCCTTACCTGCAAACTGCAGATCCTCATGTTTTGGAAAAAAGGATTTCCTCAAGTACCTGTTAGCAGAGAAGGTTCAAATGTGGAAACAGTTGTTTCTAAGGAATACAAGCCTCAATTCTAGTTCTGTTCTGACTTAAAGGTGCTGAGTACAGAGAAAAGCATGCTTAGCTCCCTCAAGTCCCTGATCTACCTCTAATGTATCATGCAGGTTGTATCCTGCATTCACTGCTATTCTTTTAGTTGAACTTCTGAACCAGGCATGTGAAACAATTTGATCTCCTGTGTTCCTGCATAATTATGTAATATAAACAGAATATGGCTTCTGCTCCCATAGCCTCTAGTGTGAGATACCCACGGTAGTCAGTTCTGATGCAAATGTGACGCACAGTCTGACCACGGTGGACTTACTGAGGGCACTCCAGGTACTGCAGGATCCGAGCCAACTGCACACAAGCCTTGCCCTTCCTCCCAATTCCTTCAAAGTCCCCCTCCACGCTCCTGAAAGAGAAAGAGAACAGCCTGTGTACTCAGCATGAGACTGCACAGCCCCAGATGGCCAGGTGTCCAGAAGACCAAGCCCTTCCCCTTAATCTGAGAATGGCAGCACACCCCCGCCTCCACTCCCTAGAAGTAAATGGGCCACCTTGTAAAAGTGCTATTATAGAAGTAGAGTCTGTTAACAAGTCATATTTAGAACTCTCTGTAAGCCAAATACTTTTTTTTTTTTTAAATATTTGTGTATTGACACAGCCCAGCAGCTGGATGCTACAGGATTGCATGGCTTGGCCAGTTAACTCACATGCAGGTCCAGATGAAAAGCTGAAGGAACAGAAATTGGTCTTGCATAAGAATATAGGCCCACCCCATCCCTCCACATCAAGATTGAAGAGTACAGGAGAACTTGACCTCCTGCTGCTTTGTCATCCCCACGCTGGGATAAATGATCTTAGTTGCCAGGGCAGTTAACTCAACATCTTTGTCCAGTGGTGTAAGGGCTCCCTGTAATCCTGGCATTTAAGAGAGGTTCAAACATTTGCTTGAGGTACACGCAGTTCTTTGCTGGTTTTAGTTTAATTAAAGATTGAAGAAACAGAAAGCAAAGAGGGAATGCTTTCTGCAGAACGAGATGGCTTCTCCTTACTTTACATCTTCTCCGTGCTCGTCAAACACTACGATCTCATCCACACAGAAGATGGCACATGCCCGAGCAATCTGTCCCGCAAGGTACGTCCGCAGCTCCAGCGACTGGGCGTTGTTCAAGATGGAGCCTGGCAGGGCTACGCTCAGCGTGTAGTGTCGCCCTGGGGAACAGAGGGTGATCAGAAGAGAGCCGCAGCGTGACAGCAGCATGTACAGCATTTTATTTACTACTTCAACTGCAGTTGTGGTGGAAAAAAAAAAAAGCAACTTCTGCTTCTTAGATTTTAATCACAGGTTTTCTCTTAAGAAAGGTCTCTTGTGCAGCACTTGCTGCATTGTGTTCCTGCCTGTTTACGTGTGTGGATTAATCTACATCAGATATACAAAGCTGAGCAACACCCTTCCTATTCATACGTAAAACTGACAGACCCTTATGACGAAGTTCTCCCAGCTTTTTCACCCAGGCCTCCCCATCGGGTCACATCAGCATCACCTTTGTCCTCCTGCTCCTCCTGCTTCTCAGCTTGCTTTTCTGCCAGCTCCCGCATCCTCTGTTTTTCCAGTTTCTTCAGCAGTTTCATTTCCTTCCATTTTTTCTTCTCCGCTTTCCCTGGAACGGAGAGCAGCACCTCGCTTTAAAGAGCGAGCCCTGAGCGCTCAGAGCAGGGCAGCTGTGGAGGACAGCACGAGGGCCGCCGGCCCGGACAGCGCCGTGAGGGCCGCGCCGGGGCACAGAGCGCTCGGGGGCG